GACTTCCTGTCTCCTTCCACGTGTGGAACACGAGTAAACACTTTGTCCAAGTGAGGGCAAATCGGTTGTGACTTTCCAGAGAAGCAGCACAAGCCCTGCAGTTGGCACGCTGCCCCTTCCAACGGGCACAGCCTCAGCCTGGCCAAAAAACCACTATTTTCACTGAAAAAAAGTCACCTTCAAAGGAAGCAGCTCCCAGTCCCAATGCCAGTGTGCAGCACCCAGTCAGTCCCGACGCCTTATTAGTCATGATTAATGCAGGTGGGGGAGCTTGGAAGGCAGCAAGTGCTAAACCCAAAGTGGATTCCAGCTTGTCTTCAGCACATTTGTAACTTCCCACCTGCTCTCCTCAGCTGCTGACAAGCTCCTGCACGAAGGGGAGAAGGCCCAAGACACAGTAAAAACATTATGGCAGTACCTGTTCTAAGACCCACAACGTCAGGGCTGGTGTTGCAACCACACAACAGCAACCTGATTATATCTACTAGGACACTTCTGCAAGAGCAGAGTTGGAGAGTTAAATGCCCTCCCAAGACTGCACTGGGCTGACACTGCCCTCAAATGTGCTTTTAGCTATCCCAGTTCTTCTGGCAGGAGCCAGCCATCCCCAGGCAGGGCCCCAGACATCCTCTCTGCCACGCTGCACAAAGCCCACAGGGCAGGCCAGGCCAGTGTGAGCCTCTGGGCTACAAACCTCCTAACACACCTCAATCCACTGACACCCGCTGTTCCTCCCTGATTACATCTCGGACACAGCACACACTGTCCCAGCAGAAGCTGTGCTGCTGAAAGCACCAAAACACCTGGGACACCTCGGCATTGACCAAACAACTCCCTTGGGATTCTTCACAAAATCTGCCTCGAGGGCTTGTACAGACTGCAGGAACACAGAGGATCCAACGTCCCAGCCAGCAGGGTACATGTGCTGCCTCACACGGAACACAGGAAAAGTATGGGGAAAAAAATTAAAAAAATAAACATCACATGTCCCATTCCAAGAGGAGAAACAGTTTAATTCCTAATCCAAATGTCACTGGTCAGCTGGTTAGCAGCTGGCCCTCGGCTGAAGCTAGAAAGCAAAAACTCACAAAATGCACTTCCAAAGCCATGTGTTGAACCCAACCCCACTGGAGAACTGGGTTGAGGATCAGGTAAATCTGCAAAATTTACCTCAGATGGGGTTTGTTTTAAAGTGTGATTGTTTCAGAAGAAGGTCAGGTGTCATTTTAGTCACTTCAGGTTACCCTAAGGGTGAGCTGGGTAGGGGTCAGCAGAGCCCCCAACAACCCAACCCCACAATTAGGCAGCTCAGGGGACCCCCCTCCCCACCAGGCACAGGTGGGACACTCACAGCCTTTGCTGGCCTGCAGTTCTGCCAAGGGAAGTCAGGATGAAACATTCCCACCATGCCCTTCTTTTCAGTACAGAGGAAAAAACACAGCTGGCAAACGTAAGCTGACTTTGCACTGGTTCAGAATGTCTGCCATTAAAAGCTTTGAAATCTGCACTAGCAGGCAGCACACGGGCATGAACGTGAAAAGCTTCAGTGAGATATGTGACAATTATTAAACCTGAATCCTCTACTTACACACTTTCAGGGGAAAAGACCTTCCCAAAAGATACCATAATTTGAGAAGTGACTTTTCACAGACGTGAAGAAACGCAGCCTGTACCTTTTGCTTGAAGCAGAGTGAGACAAAATCCTCTCAAACATGTGCCCCAACAGCACTCACACACCTTGGGTCAGCTCAGCACTCTCTGACAACACTGTGAGTACTCCCAGCCACACCAAACACAGCCTCCCCTCAAAAATGGGACACCGGGGCAATCCCCACCTTGCTGCAGCTCAGGAGAACCCACAGCTTATGGTACTTTGGCACACATGCACATCCCTCAAACTCCTTAGCAAAGTCCTGATTTATGGCAACATCCCTCTCAGTGTTTCTTCGGTCCTCCTCAGACAGACACTGACCTCCTTACAGCTCCAGTGTGGGGGTTTGGGGTGGGTTTTTATTGTTTTGGGTTTTTTCTCCCTACACGCAGGCAGGAACAAAGAGCAGCATCTGATTTGCTCACGCTGTTTTGGTTTCTTTTCATAAACAAAACAGCAAGACGGCAGCCCGACTCACCCACACACTCCAGCAGCTCCTGGGTATTCACCACAGCTCTGTGAAACACCCCAAAACCGGTAACAACACCCCTGACTGGGTGGCTTTAACCCTGGCCCCGCAGACCCCCAAGGCCAGCAGCACTGACCCCCCACAGCAGTCAATCCTTGTGCAAACTTTGAGGGGCATTTTTCAAGAGACTGTTCGTGCTAATATATGGATGAGAGCAAGACAGCTACAAAGACTCAACTGGGAGTCACCTATTGCAACACGCTATAAAAAACCCACTGATTCAACATCACAGCCAACCACTCAAATTCCTTATATGTTATTCCCATCTACTTCCTCCCCCAAGGAAGGAATGCTCCTCCCTGCCCAGGGAAGCAGCAACCAGACACAACTATTTTTCAGGGATGGGGTTGCATCCTCAGGAGGTATTTTGGGGGATCCATGCAGAGCCAACGAGCACGTGGAGTCATCTGCCACCTGGCACACACTGGTGCTGCACCGTGGCCTCCACCCCAGGCAGGGCACACCCCTGTCAGCAGGGTTGCTCAGCAGAATTCAGGGTGACCAGGCACAGCTCTGACAGACAGAGGTAAATCCCAACACTCCCATTCCAAAACTTCTGGTTCAACCAGTTCCTCAGTCATGCAACTCAGGTCTCCCCCACACCATCCACCAACACCTCAGAGATTCCTTCTCTGAAGCCGCTTTTGCACCTCTGTTTATTTTGCAGGCTTCACATTCACCAAAACACAGGCTCCCCTCTGCCTCCTAAAGCAATGGGGATGAGAGGTGTTCCTTCCCAGGCAGGATACTCCTCCTGCAAAGTGCTTCCCAGGGGACTTTTCCTTTTAGCAGAAAATAGCCAAGAGCTCACAAGTTGCCTTTTCAAAACTGCTGAAGCACCACTGCAGATACAAAGAGGTTCTCCAGCCGCAGATTCGGACGTCAGGAGTGCAGGGACCAGGCTGCCCTCGAGCTCCCCAGGTCTCCAGCTGAGTCAGGGAGAAAATGCTGTTTACCAGCTCTCAGGCACACGTGTGCAGAGCTGCAGCACTTCTGACCCACGCTGCCTCCCCACACGACCTCCCTTTCCTACAGAGGAAATGGCATTTTCACCTCCCTGTTCCCATCACAAGGGGACAGACAACCTGCAAAACACACAAAGCCACCTTGCTCCTGTCCCCTTGGAGGCTTCACTCAGCAGGCAGAAGGATTTCAGGCTGCCCACAGCAGAGTCTAAACGTGAGGGCAACACATTTCACCACAAGAACTTCCCCTGCCTCACAGGACCAGATCTCAGCACCTGTATTACAGGCCTTGCCCAGCCTGTGTGCTCCAGGAGCTGCAGCCAAGCCTAGGCCGTGCTCCATCCCAGAGGCCAGCCAGGAAACCAGGAATGGCAGGGAAAAGCCCCCCCAGGCAGCAGCTCCTCCAGGACAGCCAGGAGGGAGGGGAGGCACCTCTTCCAGGCAATCTGTGCTTCCACCTCCACCTCTGCCGAGCAGGAGGGCCCGGTGACACACGGGATCCGCTCCCCGGTGCTGTCAGCACGGGGCAGAACCTGCCAGCACATTACTCATCAGCACAAACAGCCTCTGCCTTCCTATGTTACCAGGATGAGGCCACCCCGGTGTTAAAAAAAGACTCTGACAGCTCCTCAGGTTTAGCTCTTGTAGCTCCTGAGCTCCCAGGGCCAAAAGGGCCTTGGAAATACCAGCCCAGGCCAACCTACAACGCCAATTTCAAGTAAAAAAAAAATAAATTCACCATAGTTACCAGTTAAAAGCCTGGTTTCGGTGCTCCTCTCAGCAGAACACATCAGAAATCACGTCTGAAAGACTGGTCACAGACCTATTTTTTTGCACACTGTGGCGACTTCTTACAAACCTGAACACTGGCAGCGTACACAGAGTCCCTTTTCCATTTTAGGGCTCTTTCTGTAGAAGCCAACACAGGTCCTCCCACTCAGCTCTCTCACAGCAGCTCCCCTCTCCTTCGCAATCACCAGATCAAAACAAAACACTGTTTTGACTGAAATGGCCCAGGATGCTGCAGGAAGGACCGGGAGCAGGGCTAAGGAGGCCAACATCTCTCTGAAGGTCGAGGCTAAGGTTACCAGCCAGAGCCAGCCAGGAGGCTCCTCACAGCCCCAACAAACGCAATGTAAAATGATAGTTGAAGCAGCAGAGCTGGTTACAATTAAACAAATGCCACCAGCAGCTTTGCTGCACTGCAAGGGCTGCACACGTCATGAGTTCTGTAATCCCCACGGCTCGTTTTCAGTTCTTCAACTGTTTTATTTGGAGGGGAAAATACGGCAGTTTAGGATCAGCGCTTCCCCTTGCAGAAACCCCCCACGCACAGAAATCCCTCATCCCAGGTCACAGCCTACCTATGGGCATGACAGAGCTGCCAGGAATTCATTTACTCCAGTGTATAATCCTCCCTGCTTAAGGCAGGAAAGGAGGTAACAGCTGAAAAAAGTTAAAGAGCGAAGGCCACTGTTTTTATCATTTACAGCACCTCGTTCTGCACCAAAACATTTGATGGTTTTGGGGTCTGCTTGTGTTTTTTAGCTCCCAGTTTAGGAGAGGTGGGAAACGACTAACTTTGAAATCCCCTCGATTTCTAAAGCATTAACCCCCCCCCCCCACATCTAGCAAACCCGCACCGTATTTACACATGAGAAGACCAGAAATGTCAGCTCGGAGATGCCACTGGACTGCAATTCCACCAAGGACAATGAAATATTGGGGGACCCGGGGATCGAGGGGGAGGTGGGGTGGCCAGGAGAGGCCAAGGCCTCCCTTCCCGGCTCGGGGAGGCGAAGGGGCAGGGAAGAGCAGCGCGGGCAGAGCGCTCCGAGGGGCGCCGGGCTCTCACCTTCCGCCAGCACCTCGTCCACCGTGACCTGGTGCCGGCCGATGCTGAAGACCCGGCCGATGTAGCCGCTGCCCGGGCCGCTGCTGCCGCCGCCGCCGCCGCTGGTGCCCGACCCGGGCCCGGAGCCGCCCTGCTCCCGGCGCGAGTCGAAGAACTTCTTCATGTCTCAGAGGCGGCGGCTCCAGCGCTGGGGGCGATGCCGGTGTCAGTGCCGAGCCCCTCCCGGCTCCGCTGAGGGGCCCCGGGGCCGCTCTCCTGGCGGGGCCGCGCCGCGCTGTCCTCGGGGGACTCACACCTGCAAAACCACAGCGGGTGACGGGGGGCGGCGACCCCCGCGCGGGGAGCCGCGACCCGCAGCGACCGTGCCCGGTACCTCGCAGCGGGCGGCGGGAGCCTCCATGCGCCCCGCGGGGCCGGCGTGCGCAGCCCCACCGGCTGGCTCACGGCGGGGGCCGGCTGCCGGCAGGGCCCGGGGCCCGCATCGCTGCCTGGCGGCGTCACCGGCGGCCACCGAGCCCGTCAGGGAGCGGGACGCGGGCAGGGACAGGGACCGACCCCGCCGCCGCCGCCCCCCGCCGGCCCCATCCGACCACGACACGGGCCGTCACAGGAAGTCCCGGCTGCCGGCGGGAGCGCCGCCCCCGCGCCTCCGCCAGCCGCAGGGCCGGGCCCCGCCGCCGCGGGCTGTGCCCTTGGCCGGGGGTGTCCCGTCCTGGAATGCCCGTCCCGGGCCGCCCGTCCCGGGATGTGCCGCCCGTCCCGTCCGTCCCGTCCGTCCCGCAGCCCCCGAGCGCGGCGCGGGGGGAGCGGGGGCTCGGCGGGATGGCGGCCCCGCGCAAGGCACGCTGGGAGCGGTAGTTCCCCGGCACGGGCGGTCGCGGCGCTCCAAGCGCAGCGCGGACTACAACTCCCGGCGTGCACCGCGGCCGGCAGGGGGCGCTGTGCGGCGGGGCCGTGAGGGGGCCGCGGCGGAGCCCCGGGCCGGGGTCGCCCCTCAGAGCGGCCGGGCCGGGCCGGGCTGGGCCGGGAGCGGCGGCGGCCCCAGGGACAGCGGAGGGGCCCTGCGGGACGGGTGTCCCCCTCGCCGCGAGGCACGGGTGCAGGAATCCTGTCCGTGAGCAACCACGGCCTGTGCTGGCGCTTTGCCTGGTGACGGCTGGTTTATGTTCGGTTTGGAAATAATGTGCTAAACTCGGTGCCTTTGTGATATAATAACAGAAGGCCATTGCTGTGACACCTTGGTTTTGGCCTGAAGCACGAGGCTTATCCTTACGCAGGCCCTGCTGCCTCGTTTGAGATCCTCAAAAAACTCTATAAACAGAGGGTATCCCAAGATCTCAAAACCTGGTCAGTGTTTTAAACCTGGCAGCTGGTTTTGCAAAGGCTGCACCTTGGATTGACTGTTAAATGACATCTCCTGCTCCCGACCCCGATACCTCCCACAGCTCATCCACAGAGCCCAAAGCCCCTGGGTTAAGCTTTGGAGAGGTTTAGATTAGCTCAAATCTTGTGAAATTTCCTTTAAATTTAACCACTTTGGGGTTTTTTCAGCCTTTCTTTCCTCAGAACCAAGGAGATTTTACCCATCCCACGACATCCACAGCAGCTGACTCCTCTCCACGTGCATCACAGAAGGCCAAAGCTGGGATTTGAAACAGAAGAGGAAAACACTGAAATGGCAAAAATTGGTTTTCCCAGAATGGGGACCCAGAATAACAAAGCTCGTGGCTCCAGAGGAATCCCTCCGTGACACACCGCTCGCCTTCCTCCCTCGGGCTGGGACACAAGAGGAAACCAAAGCACGCTCCCATTTTCCCGGTGACTATTATTTCCTGTATTATGGTAATAACTACAGCCATCCTGCTGACAGCCACTGTCCCCAGGCCAGGCCTGCTTACTGTGGGATGACAAAAATGCTTTCCCACACATTTTCTTCTTTCCCCAGCCCTTTTTCTTCATCCTGCCCCTGGTTTGGGCAGAGGCTTCCATCGATGCCAACGAGATTGGATCAGCATGTTGTAAATGCATCTAATTGGTTTTGTCCCCTGCTGTTTGGTGACTTTTAGGATGGATATGGCTCTCAGAACAGTCAAGTAGAATTTGTTACCTACAGGCTGGGGGTGATGTTTAGCACCTGGATCTAACAGCAGGTCACAGTACAGTTGTTCCTCTGCTGAGCCACTGAGCCTCTTCACTGTGGGTAAATGTTACACCTCTTCCATCATCCTTGTCCTCAGCAGCTCTGGTAGGTAAGGGCCCACCAGCCCACCCTGCAAACCTCAGGGTCCTCCTTGACCACCTTTAGCCACCCATAATTTGTAGGGTGCTGCAGAGTGGCTCCTGGCTGCACCTCATTTCCTAGTGTCATGTACAAGACACCCCAAATCCACAGAGCTGGAACTGCGATCATTTCAGCCAGGCAGCCTACACACGTGTGAAAACAGTCCTTTCTCATCTGTCAGGCTTTAATCTTCATGAAACCTGCTCCTGGTTTGGGGCTCTGTGGTGGATTTTCAGTGGTCAATACAGAAGGTTCACTTGCCCTTCAGAATAAAGACGAAGTGAGTGAAGTCTTGGCTGCCTCTATCTGTGTTTTTTTGTTATTGTTTTAATTCCTCTACCCTGTGAAAGATCCCCAGGCATCTCCCAAGACCGAGGTAAAACCCCCAGTGCAAAAAAGCGACTCCCACCATCGGGGATTTCTGGGGACTCTGCAGAACTGAACAATTTCCAAGGAAATCAGGCATCTCTGTACAGTACAGGGAAATGACTCATTTCCAAGCAGGGAAGATAAAAGCCTCTGCGTGCAGAGAGCTGCAGATGCAGCGCTGAGCCTCCTCCCTGGCTCCGGGAGGCTTTTTTTAACCATACCTGCGGTGCAATGCAGGCGAGCGCCGGCCCCACGCACGCCTGGGGCTCTGGTGCTCAGCCCACGGGCCCCCAGTCCCTGCCAGCACCGCTGTGGGGAGCAGGAGCATGGCAGGAGCTGATCCCCGACTGCAGATGCTGAGGATATTCCTTATTCCAGAAGGCACGAGGCTTGGCTGCGCTGCTGCAATCCCAGTGACCTTCACAGGGATCAGAGGCAACTGAGCCTGAAAGCTCTTAGGGAAAAAGCTGATCAGGGGCTGCCAGCACAGACGTGGCCTGTGCTCCTCCCCTGTGAGCCTGGAGCGACTCCAGAGCGCTCCCAGAATTGTCCCACTGCGGAGAGGAGCCTCAGTCTGACTAACACAGACCATCCTGAACACCAGATTTTAGCTGCTAAAATCCCCTGACACGGAGGTTTAAAATACCCGAGCCCCGGTGGTGCGGTCAGCAGAGCTGCTTCCCTGATCCCTGCTTCTCCTGCGCTGCCCAGAAAATGCACTCAAATCCCCAGGAAGAAGCAAGCACATTAATACAGCTGCATCCCTCTTCATCAAACTTTCCAGACGGCTCAGCGTTTTCTAAATAAAAACACGCGCTTGGAAAGGTTTCCTGCGGCCCCCAAAAGGCGAGGGCAACACTGGCCTCTTCTGGAGAGCTCGAGGAGCGGCAGCGAGGTAGGAAAGAGCCGGCACAGCTTCCTGGGCTTGGTGATGCTTAACAGTCCAGGGGAAACGAAGTAATGGTCACATTTTCCTGAATTCAGCTCTTTAATAATCAAGCCTTATCACCCGGTTATTTTTACCGGGATAAGGATGTTGGGAGAGCGACTTTTCACGCGGGCAGCCAGTGATAGGAGAAGCGATATCGGTTTTACACTGAAAGAGGGGAAGTTTAGGTTAGATATTTGGAAGAAATTCTTCCCTGTGAGGGTGGGGAGGCCCTGGTACAGGTTGCCCAGAGAAGCTGTGGCTGCCCCATCCCTGGGAGTGTCCCAGGCCAGGTTGAAGCAACCTGGGCTAGTGAAAAGTGTCCCTGCCCATGGCACGGGGTGGAATTGGAGGGGCTTTAAGGTCCTTTCCAGCCAAAACCATTCCATGAGTCTGTGATTCTCTGTCCCCTTAAAAACACACACATTTGCTGCAAAGAAAGCTGTTGAGCTTCTCACCAGCTAAAGAGCAGAGCCACTGGTCTATCCATCTCTCTTTCTTCCCATGATTTTCTGGAATCCAAGCATTTCTTTCCAAGTCCAAGTGACCCCTAAACACTACTAGTATGACCAGAAAAACCACTCTTGTTCATCACCTGCAAGGAAAGGTCAGTCCTCAAGCATGCTGTCACAGGGATAGGAATTTGGCTGGGTTCAGAGTTGTGCAGAGTAACAAAAAGACTCCCAAACTCACAACTGTATTTCACTGGTGTAAAAAATGGAAGTTTCCACCTCTCTGGTGCTCGTGTTTGCTGTTGTGAGATGTACTCACTGGTTCCAGCAATGGGTACACTTCCTGCAGCTGGAGCCAACACCTTCCACCCATGGTAATGGCAGTCCTGGCCTGTAAATGAGTGTGGAGTAGGCACACGTAGAAATAATGGTTCCTTCCAACTCAGAGTGTTCTGTGAGTTTTGACTTTGCTGGGTGAGCTCTGGACCTGTGTTGTAAGTCTCACTGCATCAGCCAGTGTTTCTATCCCATTTCCCTGAAGGAATGACTGTGTGTGTGCCTTAGAAGTCACCCTGAGCTGGGCAGTCAGAGCTGTTCCCATCCCCTGGAGCTGGGTTACAGCCAAATTGCAGAGCAGTAAGATAGAACTACATAGAAGCAGATATTAATTAAGACGAAAAAAGTGAAAGCTACTCATTTCTTCCTATGTATGCTAATTAAAGTAAACATTCATTATGCCCATTAAAAGAAATTTTGGGTTGATAATGCATTTAAGGCTGCTGGAAATAGTGGTGTAGCAGTTCATAGCCTGCAGCTTTGGGAAGGAGGGGTCAGGTTGGACCACAGATGATACACATTTTCCACAGGGCACTGGCAGTTTCCCTGACTGAGCATCTCCAGGGACTGGCAAATGCCCTGAGGCCTGGGGCTGAAATGGTATCAGTTAGTCTTGGTAGAGGGGATGCTGAAGATACATCACAGTTTGTACAAATAATTGTAAGTGCAATTGCAGTGGTCTAGCCTGTCTCTTGAACTTGATGTAATCAGGCTATACCACAACATGCAGTGTAATTCATAAAATCATGGGATGGGATGGGATGGGATGGGATGGGATGGGATGGGATGGGATGGGATGGGATGGGATGGGATGGGATGGGATGGGATGGGCCTTAAAGTTCATCCACTCCCACCCCCTCCCATGGGCAGGGACACCTTCCACTGCCCCAGGTTGATCCAAGCCCCGTTCAACCTGGCCTTGGGCACTTCCAGGGCTGGGGTAGCCACAGCTTCTCTGGGCAACCTGGGCCACAGGGAACAATTCCTTCCCAGTATCCCATCTAACCCTACCTGCTGTCAGTTTAAAGCCATTCTCCCCTGTCCTGAAACACTAGGCCCTTGTCCAAAGTCCCTCCCCAGCTCTCTTGGAGCCCCTCTAGGCACTGGAAAGGCTCTAAGGTATCCCCAGAGCCTTCTCTTTTGCAGGATGGACAACTCCAAGTATCCTCTCTCCATAAGGGAGGCACTCCAGCCCTCCCTGTGAGTAATGGCAATGGCTTATCAGGCAGCTCTGGATCTGTGATGATTCCTGTGTGCCTTTTGCCACAGCCTGTGCCTCAGGCTCTGCTGGGGGTGTTTCAGCAGCCCTGTTTTCCCCAGCAGTGAAAGGTGGGACAACACAGGGATCAAAAGCAAAGGACAACCTCTATGACTGCAGGGGGCTTTTTGGAAGGTAAAAGTGTCACCCCACAAGCACCTGATCATGCTCCTCACCCCACTCTGGAGGTGTTTGCTGCCCTCCCCCTTTGGAGGGATCCATGGACACAGGCAGCCCCCCACGCAGTCAGACCACTGATGGCCCTGGGCTGTTTGCCTTCCCTGCTGTTTACAGCTTCAGGCAATGAAAGAAAACAGCAGCCTGGGCTGGGGGCCAAGAGCAGCCTGGAGTTCCTCTGTGGGAGGGAGGCAGAGTGTGTGGGCACCTCAGGCAGTGTCAGCACAGCATCTGCTGGGGGACAGCGAGGGCAGAGCCCCCAGAACGGCAGCACCCGAGATGCTGCTGGAGCTGTCAGTGTGAGGAACTGTGAGAGCATCCAGGATCCCCTCCTGTGTGCTGCCTGCACAGCACCCCCGGCTCAGAACCCTGTCAGTGAAGCCCACTTGAAACAGGCAGTTTGACTCCTGGCTCTCTCACACGCTGCTCGCTCCTGTCTCCCCTTACAGCACCTCGTGGGCCACCATGGCCCAGTGGTCTCTTGTTTTACGGGCACTTTGGGTTACAGGGACTTTCTCAAACCACTTCTGCTCCCCAGTCCCTTCCTGGCCTCGTGTGACGTGTATGTTTATGTAGCCAACCCAGAGAGCCCTTGACTGGCACAGCAGTGCTGGTGTGTGTGCTCAGGGCTCTGAACCTGCCTGGATTGCTGAGAGGGGGAGTGCTGCACATTCCCCTGGCAATACTGACTGTAAAAACAGTGTTTCTGATGGTTCTGGGGAGTAATGAAGAGCTAAGAATTTTCATTTTTTATGTGCATTGGAATAGTTCAGTCTTCCCACCTCACATAAGCACTGCCTACCTGCTTCTGGAAATGTGTTTCATCTCTCTTCTCTCTTGTGTTCCAGTCATAGAACAAAAGCTTCAGGCTGACCCTTCCTTAGGTCTCCCCCAAAAAACACCTCTGCTTCTCCCTCTGACCTGTGGAAATGGACATTTCACCTTGCACGGTGCTGAACTGGAGACACCCTTGCTCTGAGGGTCAGAAGTGCCCCTGCATCTCTGCAGTGAGCTCTAACAGCTGGGGTTCACTTGGGGATTATTATGATATTCATACACAGAAAGTGAGAATTCTTTACCCTCTTACCACCACCCGAAAGTCAGTGCTCTAGAAAAGCAAGGCTGGTTTTCAGCCTCCACCCCACCCTCGGGTGCTGCTGCTATGGAGACAGCACTGCCTGAGCTGCAGCATCCAACACAGCTCCCACAGCACTTGTGCAATCCTTAAATAGCCCCATTGTAGGGGCTGCTGCTTGCAAACTGCTGGTGCTCCGCTATAAAAATGAGCATTTTCCTTATGACCTCCTGAAAACGCCTGCTTGATCCCCAAAGGCCCAAATTGTGGCCCCCACTTGGTGAATGACTTCATTAGTGCCAGGATTTGGAGCTCAGCGAACGAGGTGAGGCTGCTCCTCTAAAGCTAAAGGCAGGTGCTTGGTAGTCACAGGACACACTGAAAATCTCTCCTTCCAGCACGAGGCTCCTCTGCTCTCTCAGGGGCAAATTGAAAAGGCCCAGGTCCTTTGGGCAAAAACAAATGCTGCCATTTTCGAGAGGCTCAGCTCTGTTCTCATGGTGGGACTTCAAATAAACACCCCCTTCCTAATGGGCTGCTCTTGAGCTCAATTTATTTACAAAAGGCACACTGCCCTGCCTTGCTGTGACCTTTAATTTGTATTAGGTCTTTTGTAGAGGGGAGAACAGCAGGATGGAGTGGGAATAGAGAGCAGGTGTGTAACCAAGTCGAGCCTGGGGCTTTGAGAGCTTTATTACAGAGGGGCAAACAGGAAATATCCATCGAACAGAGGAGCAACGTGCTCTGTCACTGCACTGGGAGGAACTGTGGGCTTGTCCCTCGCTGTCCCTCTTTCAATGCAAGGACAGCAAAGCTGTGCCAGACAGTCTGCAGCTGGAGGTACTGAAGGATAACCACAGCCTCTCCTTCCTTTCAGAGATGAAAACACATTGAAAGCTGAGCAGACTCCACACAAAGGGCTCCTGGAGAGACAAAGCTTTGTCACCTGAACCTCAGGTAGGAAAATACAGCAACAACCCTTCCCCTTCCTGAGGGGAACAGCTCCTGTAGCAAGGTACAACAAGGTTCCCTAAATCCCCTGTCCTTCCATCCACCTTCCAGAGAAGCTCAGCCAACTCTCAGCATGCTCAGAAGCTTTTGTACTTTTGTTTTCCTTTCTGGTCCAAATAATCGTGACTGTCTGAATCAGATGGCTCCAGAGCCAGGATCCACAAACAGCCAAGATTACAGGGAACTCACTGTGTGTTGCATCAGGATCAGGCTTCTGAGTGGACTACACTTACATGACTAACTCTGGGTGGCCAAAAACATCCACACAAACACTATGTATCCTCAAGTATTCCTCCTACCTGGAGCCTCTCCTGGGGGAAAGAAAAGGTTAAATGATGCAAATGATGAACAGCAGGATTGGTGCAATCCTTTATTTTATTTACCCTTTATTAAAGGATAAATAACTTGCAAAGAAAATTAATAACTCATGGTCTTAAATAATTACTCTTGCATATACCAACAACTGCAGTGTCAGAGCCTTGCAGTCCTCAGGGCTGAAGAGACTGGGAAGCAAACAGAAGGATGAAGCTTTTTCAAATACACAGGCTAAAAATATCACAGGCAACATAAAATGGAGAAACACAGCAGTTCTGCTGGTGGATTAAAACAGGCCCAGAGCAGGGAATGCTGACGTGAGAGGAAGGGATGAGAATGGAAACTTCTGTAGACGTAGGAAAGAGAAGTTTCTCCTTAGCGACAGTTGGCAACATGTACCATCCCCTGAATCCTGGGAAGGGGAAAGTGCCAGAGTTTGCAAGGAAGAGGCTCTGCAGTGGAAAAAGAAAGGGCTGGAGGCTTGAACCTGCTTTGCCTGTTCCCTGGTCCATGTATCCCCGGATCAGCAGTAGGTGCTGAGCTCCGTGGGGCAGTTCTGGGAGGCTGAGCTGTAATAAATAAACCACACAGCTGCATCCTAGCTGCTAAATTTAGGTCCCTTCCAGCAAAAGAGCATGTGCAAAGAGGCACAGGGGTGAGATAGAGCTGTCCTCTCAGCTCGAAAGAAGAACCTGAGAGGGCTGATTTACCCATTTTAATAATGGTACTTTTGGCATCAGAGGAGACCAAAATCCCTGAGGATAAACACTTGAAGATAAGCCATGTATTATTCAAGGCTGATTTCCCTCTGTCAGCCCCATGAACATGTCCATGGCTGACCCTGGCAGGGTCACATCGGGGTGAGACTCAAGTCCCTTTGCCTGAAGGGTTTTGACTTGAGGGCGGTGCCATTTATGAGGGCAAAATGAATAATCTTTATGCAGATAATAATTGTTACAGAAATCGTGGCCGTTTGTGACACAGAGTTCTTAGACAAGGGGGAATGATGCTGAAGACCCGGAGAGGTGCAGTGGGAGCAAAGGAGACAGGACAGGTAAGAAACACCCCACAAACAACACGGGGGGAGGAACAGGGCTTCTTGCTCGAGGCTGCTCTGCCCGTGTGCTCCACGCCGTCGTCCCCCTCGCTCCCCCTTTGGTGTGCCCTGCTCCAGACAGCGCACAATGAGGGATCAGAGGCTGCGGCCACAGCCCCGCTCTGTTCCCAGGGATTTTTACAGGGAATGCCGAGGAGCGTGGAAGCCATTCCAGCCTCTCAGTCCTCAGAGTAACCCCAAAAGTGCCCTTCCTACATGGAGTGAGGCTCCCTGGGGAACCTCTCCCTGCTCTGCTTTACAACCTCCTGTTTGTTTAGGGAAGGGCAGGGAGGGCTGGATCGCCCTCCCGTCACTGCCGTGCGGGTCCCACCCCGCGCCAGGGCGGGGACTTTGCCACCCAGGGCAGGCAGCAGAGCTCTCCCCATCCTGCCAGGTCCTGCCGGGACAGCAGGTGAGTGCCAAGCGGACTGGGGGTCCCCCCTGTCACGGGGCCAGAGGTTCCCGGGACGGTGCCAAGCGCTGTCCCCGCTCGCCAGGCTGGGCAGTGACAGCCGGGCTGGGCAGTGACACCAGGGCTGGGCAGTGACACCAGGGCTGGGCAGTGACACCAGGGCTGGGCAGTGACAGCCGTGCCGGGGCTGGGGCAGCCCTGGCGCTCAGCCCGAGCTGGGGACGGGCGGGCAGCGGGGCCTGGAGGAACGGGGAAGGTGGCTGGCCCTTCCCGGACACAGGCAGCTCGGGGTTTGGTTCCCATTCCTGCCATGCCCAGGCTGCCACGTCCTCCCCGCGGGATGCTCGGCACGGGTGGGCGACAGGCTAAATGAGGAGCACGAGGCTGTAAAAATTGTATTTTTACTCCTTTTGCGGGCAGTGGCCTGCTAAAGGTCACCGTGTGGGAGGCGCGGGGATATTTCAGCTGGCTCGGGGCAGAAGGGAGATGCTTTCCTGAGCTGTAGGTTGGGCCGGGATCAGAGCCGGGACGCTCCTGGAGCACATCCCGCTCTCCGGGAACGGCGGCGGTGACGGAGCAGTGGAAAAGCCGAGCCGGCGCAGGGTGTGGGCTGTGGTCGGGTGAACGTGCCCAGAACGGGAGAACTCGTCCGACGAGTCCAGCGTTTGCCTCGCACGGGAATGGGTCACAAACAGCGGGTTTCACTGCAGAGCCGAGGTGTGGGACTGGCAGCACGCTGCGAGCTCAAACTGGGGGAAAAACCCGGTGTTTGTATCCTGTGGAGCTGTCGGGAGCTCTGCTTGTTGGTACCTGGGTGTGCTCTGAGCACAGTCAGAAGAACCTGATTCAGAGCGAGCCTAGGCTTGAGTTTGCAGAACACGGGACAGTCTCAGCATTTTTCTGATAAATTAAGTTTATTCTGGATTCAGCTTTTAGAGGATGTTGATATGGACTCAAAACTGCCTGCCAGGAAAAGATCTCCGTGGAAAAAGATTGAGTAATGGGAGGGATGCTTGCACTGTCTCTGGGCACAGTGTTTTGAGCCTGTTCTAAGCCAGGTTTGCTGTGTCAGGCCTTTATTCTGGGGTGAGATAAATAACATAAGGGCACCATAGGGCTGGCTGGCTGACTCTTTGCATGCACAGTTTAATCCTTCAAACCATGGAATGAAGTGTTGCTCCTATCCTGAAGCTGGTTTTCCCTGATGGAGCTGCAGGCCAGGAATTGTGTTAAGCTGCTGAGCACTGGCAAATCTGCTGAGCCATTCCTTTCTCTCTCTGCTAACCAAGGGGTGGCTTAGGAGGGTTTTATTCATCTAAAGCCCCGGCCTGAGCAGTCTGTGCAGACACCTTTGGCTCTGAAAGGGTCACAGGGCCAGGGGCCATTGCTGGACTGCTGAGCTCCCCCACCTGTAACTTCAGTGGCTCATTTAGAAATACATGGAAATACTCCAGGAACAAAGTAGCAGCTGCAGCTAGAGCAGTGGGGTTTGCAGTGCTGCCTTTTGCAGTGCTCTGCTCTTTAGACTCTCAGTGATGTTCACTGGATGAAGAAATCAGAATCTTGCAGTCAATATTCAGTGTGACATTCCTGCTGTAAATGGGTATTGTGAGAGCATTTGCCCCCATTCCAGTCCAGCAGCCTCTCCTCATGGTCTGGTTCCTTCCTGCCAGCTCACTTGCACTCAGAATTTCTCTACCTCCTGCCCCCTTTCCCTTGTTACTGACCTTTCTTTTGCCCTTTAATTGACTTGCTGAACCAGCCTGTCTGATATTCCTGCTGCTGTGTGTAAACCAGCTGGATGGTAAAACTGCATCATAAAAACATTAGTGAAATCTGAAGCCTTCTATTTAGTGTCTGACAAAAGCAAATAAAATTGGCTTTTTACTTCTGTAAAAGATTAGAGGAGAGCAAACATTATTTTTCTGAGGCCTAGGTCATAATCTGAACCACTGAAATTTATGATCAGATGAAAGAAAGCAAACCCAACATTAATAATTTCCATATGTTGCCTGATTGCACAGGGTGCAGTGACGTAGAGATGACCTGGGGAACACTGGGGAGTGCCCCTGAGTAACATCCATGGCTGGTGTCACACTGTGAGTTAAGTGGCCTGAACAGCAGTGCTGGTGCATTCCAGATCTGTAGGAGTCATGTGGAGCATGAGCAAACACACTCCTGCTCTTGCACAACTGTCTGGGCTCATGGAGAGCAGCTACTGAGCACCACGAGGAGAGATGTCATCCACTGCTGGCCCCTCTGCTTCTGCCTCAGTGTGAGAGCTCACTCCCTCCTGGACTAAACCCACCAGTGTTGATGTGTGGCCTTCACTTTCTGTCCCTGTGCTTGCATCTTTTATTTTGTATTTAATTCCACTCTTCTGTGTGTGTATTGCCTGCCTCTCCTGACTGCTCTCCTGTGATGCTGGGATAACACAGGGGAGTGAACCTTGTCCTAGTACTTGACATCCTGTCAGATGATCAGGGATATGGGAAAATAATTAGGGTGTGTTGGTGTATAGGCTGTATGCATGAAAACAAAGTTATGAGCAGAAATAAGAACTGTGGCCAGACAGCAGTTAATCTTTGGTGGTTTTGAGGGCTTTGCCAGCTAAAACTGCAGCCCTACAAGGAAGAACAGACTGCACCAAATTGAGATGTTGAATACAAAATGTTTCATTAAAATATTAAGAGGGGGAATAATTCTCCTGCCCCAGTGCTCGAGTGAGGTTATCCTTTGTGTGCTCACCTGCCTCACAAAGTTGTCTCTGCCTCCCAGGCAGGATCCATGAAGGCTCTTAGGGCTGTGTGGGCACCCTCACCCTACTTCACCCTCACCCTTCTTCACCCTCAGGCTCTCACCTGCCAAGGTGACACTGTGTGTTTTGAAGGACACAGGAGTCCAGTCTATTCTCTTTGCTCCCAGGGTAACCCTGTCTGCTTCTCCTTGCAGCCTCAGGCAGGCTGTCACAAATGTGGCAATGGTAACGAATCCCATTAAATTAGCAGTACTAATCACCTGTCTGCCCTCCCAGCCTGGCCCTGGCCCTGTGCTGTCATGATCTGCTCGGTGCAGAGCAGGGCTGGAAAGGAAGCTGCTGTTCACTTCAGTGATGCTTCTAGCCCTCAAAGAATTAGAGGGTTACTTCCCCAGCCCCATTAACCTGCAAGGGTAGGTGTGTTCTATTAATTATTTCCTAGAAAACTAACACCCCCCGTGTTTTTTACTGCAGCTGAGTGCCTGGGGACACGAACAGTGCCGGATTGACCAAACCCGAGCACCATGGTGAGTGAGTGTGTTTGCTGTGCCACCCTGTGCCAGGCCACATAAACCTGGGGAGTGTAGCTCAGATAAGGACCCAGCAGGAAGAGCACTATCACTGTCTGGCCCTTCATGGGGGGGGATTTATCACCTCTCTGCTTCCTCATACTAAAGAATGACCCACATATATAGGCTTTTCCTTTTGGGGAGTTAATGGCAAACCAGTCGGATATCAGTTGGTTCAAAGAGCATGAATTTCTCTAGCTGAACTTCCTGGGTTTATTCTCTCCAGGTTGAATCCAGTTCACCCTGCTGCCAATGGACAGGGACACCTTCCACTAGAGCAGGTTGCTCCATGGGCATCCACATTAGGATATTTGCTCCTTTCTGTGTCCCTGTGGCTTATTTCTTAAGTGGCTGGGACGTCCCTATTGAACAAACCACTTCTGTTTAGGATGGAACCCTGGTGTAAAATCACTCCTGTTTGCTGGGTGGACTTTACACTGTCACCATGTTTGCATCTTTTGCATACTCTTTGTTTTTAATTCATCTCTGTGTATGTTTGACTTTGTGTCTGCCTTTCTTAACTCCTGTGGGTTTAGGCAACAATCAAGGGAGTCTCGAGCTTCAGTGCTGAGCAAGAGGCACAGGCACTAAGGAAGGCCATGAAGGGGCTTGGTAAGTTGGTTTCCCTCCACTGTTAAAGCCTCCTTCATCCCCCTGAGGATTGGGAATGTTTTCATGGTGTTTGTTGGAGGGGAAATCCAGCCCTTGGCATCACCCCCCTGCCCTGGGAGGGCACTGGAAGGAACTGAGCGAGTTGAACCCCACTGGAAATCCAAGTCTTGGCCACAGTCAGGCCCTTGTTTCCTCTGCCCTGTGGGGTGGGACTGCCATGCTGTGGCTGGGCTGGGGCACTGCTGCACAGCTGAGAGCCAGCTTGGGTGAGGGTTGGGTGGTTAATGGCACACCCTGGGCACAACCAGAGCACGTGCCTGGTTCTTGAACAAGCAGCTTGACTGGTTTCCATTGGTTTCTTCCAGGCACAGATGAAGATGCCATCATTGAGACACTTGACCAAGCTGAACACTTCCCAACGCCAGCAGGTTCTGATCACCTATAAAAGCACCATTGGCAGGGTAGGTGTTCTTCAGAGATCAGTGGCTGTGGCTTTAACTGGAAGTTGCAGACATTTTTGGGGTTGCATTTGGGGTGAAATGTGAGCAACATCCTGGTCTCCATGAGAGTGTGATTAGCACAAGCCTTCCTTGGCCAAGTTCATTCTGGTCTTGTTCACTTCCCAGTAACCTCCCTCTTTATCCAAGGAGGGCTGGAGCATGAAGAAAATTGTGAACGAGTTCTTCCTGTTCTCAAAACTGTATCTTCTTTCACCTCCTCTTCTCTCTCTGTCTTCTAGGATTTGATTGACGACTTGAAGTCTGAGCTGAGTGGGAATTTTGAAAAGGTGATTGTTGGTTTGATGACTCCAACCGCCATGTACGACGTGCACGAGCTGAGGAGGGCTCTAAAGGTTTGGAAATCTTCTTTTGTGTTGCCTAAGTTGTGGTCAGTTCTGTATGACATGGCACAGTGGTACATTAAAAGTCCTAGTTGCCCATCCAGACAGTTGTCATAACCTTGGATCGTGTCTTTGCCATTGCCCAGGGAGCAGGGACAGATGAAGGCTGCCTGATTGAAATCCTGGCCTCTCGCTCGAACGATGAGATCCGGCGCATTAACGAGAACTACAAAATCCGTACGTAGAGCCCTCTGCAGTGTCTGAAATGTCACCTGTGTGTGAGCAGGGGGTGTGAGGAGGGAGGAGAAGGGTCTGCCAGCCTCAAGGACTAGAATTTCACCCAGATATTGAGTGGGTGTAAATAAGCAGGGTGTGGTGGTTACGTCTCTCAGCTGGACATCTGTCCCTGTGTGGATTTTTGCCAGTTAAATACTGGCTGTGCTGCTTAATTTTGCCCTGTGCCACTAAATATGGAATGCTGTGAGGAAATCCAGGAAGGCCAAGGATGATCCTGGCTTGTACCAGCCATGGTGTGGCAGCAGGACCAGGGCAGTGACCATCCCTCTGTGCTGGCACTGCTGAGGCACCTCCAATCCTGGGGTCACTTTTGGATTCCTCAGGAACTGGGAAGGGGCTGGAGCAGCAGGAGCAGCTGAGGGAGCTGGGGGGCTCAGCCTGGAGAAAAGGAGGCTCAGGGGGGACCTTCTGGCTCTGCAATCCCTGACAGGATGGGGGAGCCAGAGGGGGTCGGGCTCTGCTCCCAGGGAACAGGGACAGGAGGAGAGGGAACGGCCTCAGGCTGTGCCAGGGGAGGGGCAGGTTGGACACTGGGGAAATTCCTTCCTGGAAAGGGCTGTCCAGCCCTGGCACAGCTGCCCAAGGGCAGGGGTGGAGTTCCCATCCCTGGGGGGATTTAACAGCCCTGTGGATGTGGCACTTGGGGACATGGTCAGTGGTGGCCTTGGCAGTGCCAGGGGAGAGGTTGGACTCCATGACCTTAGAGGGCTTTTCCAGTCCAAACCATTCCATGGGTCTGTGGTGTGCAGGGCCCTGAGCACAGTTACGTCCTCACCCAGCTTATACTGGCCCAGGCTGGGGACAGGCAGGGTGTGGGTGCTGGAGCTGTTGCTAACAGCCCTGCTCTGTGTGTGCCCTGGCCAGAATACGGCTCCAGCCTCGAGGACGACATCGTGTCGGACACGTCTTCCATGTTCCGAAGGGTCCTCGTGTCCCTCGCCACGGTGAGTCCAGGCTGGGGCAGAGGGTGGACCTGAGCAGCTCTCCCTCAGGGTGAGGGGACTGCAGCAAATTCACAGATAACAAGTTGGGGGGGAGTGTTGATCTGCTGGAGGGCTCTGCAGAGGGACCTGGACAGGCTGGATCCATGGGCTGATTCCAAGGGGATGAGGTTCAACCAGGTCCTGCCCCTTTGGCCACAACAACCCCCGGCAGCCCCACGGGCTGGGGACAGAGTGGGGGGACAGAAAGGGACCTGGGGGCACTGACTGACAGCAGCTGAACGTGAGCCAGGGGTGCCCAGGGGGGCGAGAGGCCGATGGATCCCGGCCTGGCTCAGGAACAGGGTGGCAGCAGGAGCAGGGCAGGGATTGTGCCCCTGGACTGGGCACTGGGGAGGCCACCCCTCGAGTGCCGTGCCCAGCTCTGGGCCCTCGGTTTGGGGAGGATGTTGAGGGGCTGCAGCGTGTCCAGAGAAGGGCAACGAGGCTGGGGAAGGGGCTGGAGCACAAGTGCTGGGAGGAGCAGCTGAGGGAGCTGGGGGGGCTCAGCCTGGACAGGAGGAGGCTCAGGGGGGACCTTCTCACTCTCTGCAACTCCCTGACAGGAGGGGGAGCCGGGGGGGTCGGGCTCTGCTCCCAGGAACCAGCAGCAGGACAAGAGGGCACAGCCTTGAGCTGCCCCAGGGGAGGTTTAGGTTGGACATGGGGAAGAAGTTCTTGCCAGAGAGAGTGATCAGCCACTGGAAGGGGCTGCCCAGGGAGGGGGTGGAGTCCCCATCCCTGGAGGTGTTTTAAGTGGCCCAATTAAAGTGGATGGTTGCTCATTTCAAAAGCAAGGACAAATCACACCTAAGCCACGTTTTGCTGTATTTGTAACCCATTATTCAACATTAAGAATCCCATTATGCATCTCCAGTAACTGGCTTTAATGGAGGATTTGCAGGTTTTGCTTCTATGAGTTGCTCTGGTGAAATGAGCTTTTCATCCTTGTCTCTCTGCAGGGAAACAGAGATGAGGGAACATTTGTGGACGAGACCCTTGCTCAGCAAGATGCTCAGGTGTGTGGCAGTCTGTTCCTTGCAGGAGCTGTCAGGTTTGTCCATGTGATCCCTGCTGCAGCCCTGCTTTGTCAGGACCTTGGTTTCTTTCAAGGGAGATGAGGAAGCCTGAACTGTGCTGGACAGCAGCCCCAAGTGGAGACCAGATGGGATATGAGGAAAAACGTGTTGACCAGCCCAGGGCAGGGGTGGAGTCCCCATCCTGTGGGGATTTAACAGCCATGTGCATGTGGCACTTGGGGACATGGGTCAGTGCTGGCCTTGGCAGTGCTGGGGGAACGGTTGGACTCAATGATCCCACAGGGCTTTTCCAACCCAGATGATTCTGTGGAGTAGAAATCTCGTGATGGACACGTGGTGTTCTCAATCAGCCTCATTTTGTCTCTTCATAATGTCTTCAAGTGCCTGTATGAAGCTGGGGAGAAGAAATGGGGAACAGATGAGGTGCAGTTCATGTCCATCCTCTGCACTCGGAACAGGTGCCACCTGCTGAGAGGTAGGACCTCTGTGATGTCCTGGACTTCTATTCCTTGTGTGAGGACAGTGCTTTTGTAGGAGCTTTGTACTTGTTCAGCAACTGATTGTGACCCTTTCCTAAAACAACAGGTATCATCAGGGCCAGTTCCATTCAGTTCTTTTAGGCTGCTTTAGTCCCTCCTGAGACAAAAAGAGATAAACATCCCTGCAACTTGCTCCAACCCGTAAATTTGAGAAAATGAAGAGTGACTCCCATGGGGCAGAGCCAGGCATAGACACTGCCTTCATTAACCAGCAGTTCTGGAAAATCCTTGCAGCAGTGGTAGGGCAATTAGCAAGACAGCTGCTAATTAAAATGAATTATTTCTGAGGGGCAGCCCTGATTTAACTTACAGTGTCACGATAATGGTGCAATGTTCATACAGAGCAGGAGGAGCTTGATCTTGCAAAGTGATCCCCGGGGGTTTACACACTGTGTGCCCTGGAGCAGCTCACTGGCTCCTTTTATCCCCCACTCTTCCTCCCAGTTTTTGATGTGTACAGAGGGATTGCTAATAAGGACATCACAGAGAGCATCAAATCCGAGATGTCAGGAGACCTTGAGGACGCTTTGTTAGCTGTGGGTGAGTTCCCTGCTTTTAAACTTTGTCTACAAACTGATTAAATAATTAAAGACCCTGTCTCTTGCCCTGGCTGTTTACACAGCTTCAGGAGGCAGATACTGTCTGTCTTTTTTTACAAGCCACAGTGCTTTAATCTTTGCAGATAAAACCTGGGGAGAAAGCTCTGTGCTTTATATTTCTTTCCCAAGGGATGCTTTGGGAGCTGACATTTGCTGTCAGGAAGCTTTAAAGCCTTAAAAATATTTTATTACTGCGCACTGAGCATGGAGACATCAGTGACAGCAGGTCACTGGATGTCTGCACTGTGCTTGCTGACTTGCATCTTTACAGAGTAAACACCTGCACTGAGAAAGGCCTGGAAGGGTTTGGAAGAACCTTGTCCTCCAGGGTTTATTTGCCTTACTTCTCCTGTTCTTGTCCCCCTTGCAGTGAAGTGCATGCGGAATAAACCTGCGTATTTTGCTGAAAGATTGTACAAATCCATGAAGGTAAAGAGCTTTGGCTGGGAGATTGGTATTTCCCCCCCTGCCTTTCCATGCTTGAATCAGCAGCATGACAGCAACCATTACAGAAAGGGAAACTCTGTGTTAACTGGGGGGGAAATCTGAGCTTTCCTATGGGACCTCCTTTCCCTCAGGAAGCCCAGAGCTGGTGGTGGATCACTGCATTAATGGAAAAATGCTCTAATTAGGAACAGATCCTGCAGAAAGCCGAGTGATCAAACCTTTGTGTCTGTCACTGAGCTGCCCAGAATGCCTTGCAACTGAGGCTGGTTGCTCTGTTTCCCAGGGCTTGGGCACAGATGACAGCACGCTGATCCGGGTGATGGTGTCCCGCTCGGAAATAGATATGCTGTACATCCGGAGGGAATTCCTGTCCATGTATGGGAAATCACTCCACTCCTTCATTAAGGTAAGCTCTGCAATGTTAGAGACACAGGAGACACCTCTGGGGTGTTTTAGAGGGAGTGGCATTAAGGAGGCTTTACATTTGTGTACTGAAAACGTCCCTGAGTGTTCTTGGTTATTAAATTGTCGAAGGGAATTCAAACCCTACAACAAATCATATGGGCTGGAAGGAGTCCTGCCTCGTATGGAGCTGTAAAATTAATTGTGTTCCTTTTCTCTGCTCTCTCTAGGGGGATTGCTCAGGAGACTACAGGAAAGTTCTGCTCAGACTCTGTGGTGGGGAGGATTAAAGGAGGCCTGGGGGACTGTCTGGGTGAGGGGAAGCAGCTGATCATAGAATTGTTTAGGTTGGAAAAGATTTTTAAGATCAGCCAGCCCAATAATTATTTCTTTAATGTATTTTTTTTTTCCAAAATACCTTGTTAATTGCTCTGATTTTTGCCTTAGGTTAGTTCATGCTCTGGTTGGTAATGGCCATTCTGGTTGACCATGGCCAATCTGCTTTTATGCTTGGCACACCCATTTGCCTACTAATTGGGCTGGTAAAGCCCAGCTTAAACAGAATGCTGTAACCAAAGATAGGAAAGTTAAATTGTTTCCTGACCAGATGCCCCTTTGCTGTTGTGTTCACCAGCAAAGCATGGCAACTGAAGCAAACCTGGATGCAGAGTGTGAGAGGCTGCCCAGGGGAAAACTGAGAGTGTAGAACACAGGCTTGCTTCAGTTTATCGAGATAATTAAGACACAAAGAACCTGAATATCTAAAAGGCAAGCACATTTACATCTTAACTTGCCCTCTGTTAGTGTGGAGCATTAACAGCCTGGCTGCACTGTATGTGTATGTTGCCCAGAGGTCTGTATCGTGGGGAAGATGTCACTGGTGACATCAGAAAAGCCTCTTGCTGCCCTGGTCAGAGCAGCCCCGTCTGCTTGGTCTGTCTCCTTCACTCATGGGAGTATAAATAATAATGGTTATGTTACAAAGCCTCCTCTGGATAAAGCGATGTCACTGGAATGGTGCCTTTTAGGGAATGACCTGTCCCTAAAAAATCCCACCTCATCGGCCTGGTGCTGGGGCAGCTCCCCAGATATCCCTGGGACACCTCCCCAGTCTCCCCCACGTGCTGGCTCCAGCCCCACGTCACAGGATCATCAGGCTGTTTGTGCCTGGGTCTCACCTGGGCTTCCACTCCAACCTCTGGGAGGGACATTATCCCCAGACCCTCCACACCTGCCTGTTCACCTGAGCGCTGCTTTCACTACAAAAACGGGGTTCTTGTTTGGCTTAGCCACTTATTTGTTACTGCTGGGGAATAATCCTGTTCTGAAGGATGAGACTGAGGTTGGAGTGTCACAGCTGAAACACTGAGGTGGCTGCACCCAATTCCATCACTCATTTTCCTCTGAAAGAGGCTGGAATAGGAGATGCCTCTGTGGCCTTCAATAAAATAGTTTTCTTTCTCACTCCTTGGGCTGCCAGTGGAGACACATTCCTGACTTTTGCTGGGGGAGGAGGCAGAGCTTTATCCAGCTCTCCCAAGGCCTCTGCTCAGGATAGGGAAAGGTCCATGCCCAGCACAGGGGCTGCCGGAGGTGCTCGGGCGGGGGGTGGGTTCCAGTGCCTTGTGTCAGGTTGCTGAGCTTTGAAAGATAAATAAAGAATTTGTTTCTGTACTTCCTGCCCCGATGGCGTGTCCTGCCCGGACTCCTGTCCTGCTGTGCCCCAAAAACCCTGGGGAGCTTCGAGCCCCCCAAAGCCCTGCTTTGAGCCTCCCAAAGCCCTTCCCACCTGCTCTGCACTCTCTGCCCTCTTTGCCCTGGCCTTCAGCAGTGCTGCTCCACACGCTGCCGAGGATTTCACCCAATCTGCACGAAATGCCACACGAATGGAGAGCCTCCCATCTACCCTGGTAATTAATTTGTACAGAATCTGCTCGGGGGACTTTAAATGCTCACGCCTTCTGCTTCTCCCTGTTCCAAAGATCCCAGGGGAATTCACCCAGTGCTGGCAGGGGGATGTTTGGAGATGGGAGGCTCCGGACATGGTGGCCCATCTGGGTCACCGAACTCTTACGGAAACTTCCCAGCCTGACCATTCCTGAGGCTCTCTGGCCATCACACTCCCAACACCAGAGACTTCCACTGCTGGGACTGGAGCCCAGGGCCTGATTTTACCCTTTGAGTGTGTCATTACTGGAGTGTTGCAAAGGGGGTGAAGAATCCCACGTTTTGCAGAGGAGGGGATCACGCAGTGTTCCGAGCTCTGGCAGCTGCAGACACTGTGCTGGGGCATTGCAGAGCCCGGGTCCTGTGGCCTGATGAACCCATCCAGGGGGAAGTGTCTGATCCCTGGAGAACCCCCTGGGATGGGCCATGGGGCAGCAAAAGTCCCGTTCAAGGGGATGGAAAAGCCCATTCCTGTGTCAGGAAAAAGCCCATTCCTGGGTCAGGAAAAGATCCCTTCCTGGGGTGGGAAAAGGCCCATTCAGGGTCAGGAAAAGGCCCATTCCTGGGTCTGGAAAAGGCACGTTCAGGGGCACAAAAAGGTCCATTCCTGGGTCGGGAAAAGGCCCGCTCAGGGGCAGAAAAAGGCCCATTCTTGGGGTATGAAAAGGCCCGTTCCTGGATCAGGAAAAGGCCCACTGAGGGGCTGGAATGTTCCCGGTCCCGGGTCAGGAAAAGGCCCGTTCCCGGATTGCAAAAGGCCCATTCAGGATCAGGAAAAGGCCCGTTCCCGGACAGCAGAAGGCCCGCTAAGGGCAGGAATGTTCCTGGTCCCGGGTCAGGAAAAGGCCCGTTCAGGATCAGTAAAAGGCCCGCTGAGGGGCAGGAAAAGGCCCGTTCCCGGATAGCACAAGGCCCGCACAGGGGCATGAAAAGGCCCGTTCAGGGGCAGAAGAAGGTCCGTTCCCAGATAGCACAAGGCCCGCTGAAGGGGCACGAAAAGGCCCGTTCAGGATCAGGAAAAGGCCCGCTCAAGGGTAGGAAAAAGCCCATTCCCGGAGCACAAAAAGGCCCGCTAGGGGCAGGAACGTTCCCGTTCCGGGCAGCCCAGGGCCCGTTCAGGATCAGGAAAAGGACCATTCCGTACAGCCCGGGGCCCGCCGAGGGGCAGGAACTGTCGCCGTTCCCGGGAAGCCCGTCCGGGGCGGCCCCGCCGCGCAGGCGCAGGAGGCGCGGGGGCCGCGGCCGGTGCCGCTGTGTGTGCCGAGCCCGCTCCGGCCCCGCTCGGCGCGGCCTCATGAGGGGCCCGGGCCGGCCATGGGCGCCCTGGGCAGCCGCGTCCTGCGGCGGAGGGGGCCCGTCCCGCGGGGCGAGGCGGCGGCGGGCAGGGCCGGCAGGAACGGCAAGAGGAAGCGCGGCGGGGCCGCCGAGGGGCCCGGGGACAGCGACAGCGACGGCGACACCGAGCGGGACGAGCGGCTGCTGCACCCGCGGGGCCGCAGGTCCGGGGGCCGGGAGGGGACGGGGCAGGGGGGCACGGCGGGCACATCCCGGGAAGGGCTATCCAGGCCCTTCGGGTTTAGTTTTTTAAGTTATCCTGTCCAGAATTGGTTATTTTTTTGGTTTGTTTGTTTGTTTCCCCCCCCCCTCCATCTATCCCCTCAAATTTCCCCGAATTTCATCGATTTTCCAAGTTTTCCCGGCTTTCTTTACATTTACTCTGGGGGTTTTTTTCCCCCCAAATTTCCCAACGTTTCCCCGAAATTTCACCGGTTCCCCCAAATTCTCCAAATCTTCCCCTTTAAGTTTAGCAAAACTTTCGCGTTTTTATCCAAATTTCCTGTAATTTTCCCCAAATGTACCCAATTTAATGAATTTCCCCCAGACTTCCCCATTTTCCCAAATGTGCCCCAAACCTCCCATTTTTTTGGCCCAAATTCTCGCGGTTTTGCTCAAATTTCTCCATTTCTCCCTAAATTTCCCTAATTTTTCCTCAAATTGCCCCCTTTTCTCAGAATTCTCCCCAAATGTTCCCATTTTCACCAAAGTCTCCTCATTTCTGCTTCAAGTTCCCCTAAATTTCATCAGCTTTACCAAATTTCCTAATCTGATGGAGAAACGTGGAGAATATTTTGAGACTGCCTTGGAATTCTGGGAAATTCTGGATTTCCAGGGGGATTTGGGGCCCATTTATCTCCTTTTGGGGCCCATTTGGTTGAATTTCACAGTATTTCAGCACATTTTGGGCAAACAGTGGCACAGGCAGGGAGTGGGGAGGTGGTGCCAGCCTGGGGGGGACGTGGCAGGGGAAACCCTCTGAGGGTTTTCTGTTGCTGCTGTTGGAAGGAGTGTCTCACTGTTTGGTTTGGGGTTTTTTTTCACTAGGAAAAAATTGAAAAGCACATCGAAGTACATTTATCAGACTTTGTTTCTGAATGGGGAGAACAGTGATGTCAAAATCTGTGCGCTGGGAGAGGAGTGGAACTTGCACAAGATTTACTTGTGTCAGGTAAGTGGCTCCTTTCTAAATCCCAGTAGGAACTGTGCTTTTAGTAAAATGATGTCTGGGAACTGAGCAGTGTGACTGGAGATTTTTCCTTTATTTCTTTTCCCCCCTCATATTTAGGACTTTCACTCTTTTTGTAGATGCAACCAGTTAACCAGCTCCTGTTAGCAGTGTTGGGGAGCAGAGCTCTATCTTTGTGTTTGAAAAGCTTCTCTCTCTTCCTGTCTAATTTTTTTTTAATTCTATTTAATTTACTTTATTCTTAGTCTCGGTGCATTCTCTGTGAAAACAGTCCTGAAATTTGTCTTTGGTGTCCTGAGAACATGTTCCTGTTTGCTGATCAGCTGGCTGAGTGGCTCTTGTGGCGTGAATATCCCGTCAGGGCAGAGGAGGCACTTGCAGATGGGATTTGTAAAGCCTGTGGTGCCCCAGTTCAGCTCTCCTGTGCCCCGGGCTCAGGTGCAGGGACCTGCAGGGAACTCGGTGGTGCTGGGTCTCTGTGGCTGTCCTTTGGTTGTTGTGAGCCCTCGTGGAAGGATTTCCTGCAGCTGCCTCAGGAGGGTTTGCACAGGAGCTCCAGAGAGGGGTAAAGTGGTCGCTGCATCCCAAGTTTGTGGAGCTGCTCCTGAAACCTTTGCGTGGGTCGGTGACTGGAGCTGGGTGTGAAATCCCTTCTGTGGATGCAGCTGCGAGGCAGGGTCTGAAAGCTGGGACTTTGTTCTGCAGAGGCCTCGTTGTAGGAGAGATGTTTTTTGGGAGAGCAGCCTCGGGGCAGTTCACTGTTCTCATCAGGCAGGTCCTATTTCAGGTCATGCTCCAGCACTGGAATTGTGTTACTGGAGGTAAAATAGTTCTGGAGGTTAGAAATAACTCCATGGAAATGACTTCTAATGCCATTGTGACTCTGAACTGCTGAGCAGACTTTCTCAGCCTGTTTCAGCTGCCCTGGTCCCTCGGTCACTGCCCTGAGCTTGATGCAGGACAGCCAGGTGCTGCTCTGACTGTTCACAGAGAAATGGGGGATCTCTGTTTTCTGATGCTGTTACTAAAATGGTAAATTCTTGTGCAAACGGGGAGTGATCTCCGTGGCAAAGCTGAGGCAGCCTCGTGAGCAGGGTGTGATTAGCGAGGTGCTGGGTTTGAGAGGAGTGTGTTGTGTGCCATGGTTAGGGATACACCGAGGGTACAGAAATAAAATCGAAACTGGGGGTTGTGTGATTTGCTGCCTTGGGCTGAAATGCTGAGTGAAGAGGTCAGGGAATGTGGTACAAATAGACTTTATTTTTTTGATCTCTCAGGTAAACTTCATTGATAGCATCTCATAATGGGCACATCTGCTGCTGGGAAGGAAAATCAGGAACCCTAGTAGAGCATTATCTTTCCCTTCATTTGGATGGAAACCTCTCAAATTCTAGTTTTATGTGCCTTACACTTAATAATAAAAGGTATATTGCTGTAAATGGTGTATGTGTCTGTGTCCTTGGTATGAGACTACAGCCTTGTACAGTAATTTGTATGTCTTGCATGCCTTTCTTTTATTTTTCCCCACTCCCCAAACTGGCATTCCCTGATGCCTGCAGGATTGTTGTCTGCTGGTAACATCAAGGACTTAGTCCCTGGACTAATTCTGCCCCCACTGGTGGTGTGGTTTGTAGGAAAAGAGCTTCTGTGGCTTTTCTGGCCTTTTAAAGCTCTTTTCTTTGGTCACACCCATGTAGCCCGAATTTCCTGTGGGCATTTTCAGTGTCAGAAACAGACAAATACAATTGGCCCCTTTTGAATCTGTCAGAATGTTTCAGCTTGTGAAAGTTCCCTTAACACACTCTGTTCTGCATAAAGGTAAATATTAACCATGTTTTGTTCCACGTGCTGCTTTTGGCACTTCTAATTGGGATGAAATCTCTTAGCTGAGTTCTTTTTCTCTCCTCTTCCCTCCTACAGTCAGGCTACTTTTCCAGTATGTTCAGTGGCTCTTGGAAAGAATCCAGCATGAACGTCATAGAGCTGGAGATTCCTGACCAAAATATTGATGTGGAAGGTAAGTGGGAACCTCCTGCATTAACAAAACCCTGAGGGCAGGGGTTAAATTCAGCCCTCAGAGGTGGAACTTCTGCTTCTCTACTCTTACAGCTCTCAGGGTGTGCTGAAGGGTTTGTTTAACTGGTGGAAGCTCAGTCCACATCTCGTGTTTGCTGGGGGGGTGTCTGGGCCGGTCAGCACTGGC